ATATCCGAAGTATTAGAGACTGGTGCGTAAATCCAAATGCATATTTGAATATATGGTCTGTCGGGGGATGTTCCGTAGAGCGCAATTGTATCTCAATGGAGATTCATCCGCGGCCGCGAGAACCGCAAATGGAAAATCATCGTAAAAAGTATTTCAACCCGCTTGCCCGCGGTATCGATCGTCACATCGCGGAAGAGTGATCTTCCCTTCGTTCTACGTAGGTCGCGCAGGTCATTCGATATTTTCAGCACCAATAGGACGTATTAATTCTCCACCGCTCTCTCGTCGTATTCAGCAATCCGGTTTTCATTACTCATCTCAACGTTCGTCTCCGTCCTCCATCTTGACGCGACTGGTATCTCGTGCGAAGGAGGTGGTCGCCATCGTCTGCCGCGACATTTCTTCTCGAGATCATCGAAGAGCAACAACGTCGCGCCTCGAGCATGTTCAAGTATCTCGTCTTGGTCTTTGTGCTGCTCTCGCACGGGATTCTAGAATATGCGGTCGGTTATCCAAGTAGGAGTAAGCAAGTCAAGGATCTCCAAAGTTTGGTGGACACGAATCTCAATTGCAGCGCGATCACAGGTATATATATGTGTGTATATATATATATATATATATATATATTTCTCTCTTCATCCGATAATTCCGAATTCGCGAGTTTTCTGAAATACGCGGAAGACACGTTTTCCGACTGTCTTTGAATCTCTCGTTGCTTCTACTCTCGCCTTAACACACAGATTACATAATCACTGCTCATATATTCCTCGATTTTATCGCGAGTGTTCAGTCTTTAATTTGCAGCGCTTCGTATGTAGACGCATTTTTCCTCGTGAACATCGAACGGACGAAGTTATCGGTAATCACAGACGCGCGAAACTTAGGGCTTTCCCGTGATTCACTCACGTCTCTTCTAATGGGGAAATATTCAGGAAGATATCGCTTTTAGAGAGTCGAAGACGCCTAACGTTTCTTCTCGCTTTTCTTCCTTCACCATTCATCGAAAAGATATTAACCGTCGATTCTTTCATCAGAGGAGATGAGCAAGAAGCTGACGGTTACTATGAACGGGAACAGTAATTACCATGTGGGCCAACAGATCTTTTACGTGTACGACGAGCAACAATTCAGGCAATTATTTTCCGATTCTACGCACACGGAGATCGTCGAGAAAGGCTATCTCGTCACGCCCAATATAGGAGCCCACAAGCTTCATCCTCGCAAAATCACATGGAACAACGCTCGTAGGGCGTGTATTGACGAAGGAGGTAAAGAAAATTACTCGTGAAATGCAAACCTTCAAACATAGTGCCATTGTCGTCACTATTATTATCGATCATTAAAGTTTTAACTGGAAATGCATCATGCATTCGCGCATCAGAATAAATCATTCGGTGTGTTTCAACGGCCGCCGAGATTCATGTGACGCTTATCTCTTAACGTGCGACGCAAACGAACAGTGATAATATCATTGACCAGATGAACTCTTACTGTGTTTTGCACGCGATCAGGTCACTTGGCGATTATCAATTCTATTTCCGAGGAGAAGATTCTCTTGCGCATGTTGAAAGAGAGGAATATTGTTGAAGCCTATGTCGGATTACACGATCTTTACGAGGAGGGTGACTGGGTCACTGTCACCGACGAGCCTTTCGAAAGCACCGGATATACCAGATGGACGACTACATTCGCGAATCTGCCTGACAACTTCGGTGGCTCGCAGAATTGCGGTGTGATTCGAGAGGAGGGCGGCCTGGACGATGTACATTGTGGGTTGACGCATTCCTTTTTCTGCGAGATAACCTTGTAAATCCGGCGGGATATCAGAGATCGGTCGCAGAGTTTGACCGTCTCTGGTCGTTATTTATGCGCATTTATAGCAGTGTGTGTGTATATAAATAAATAAATGAATGGCCATGTGCGTGCCGTGTCTTCTCCTCGGCTCACGAATGAAGGGGGGGGACTGGCTTTTCAAGGATTCGCTTTTATAAACATCGATCCACACCGGACGTTTACACGACGATGTTGGAAACTTCCTCTCTACCTCTCTATCTCGCTCTCCCTTTCTCTCTCGACGGAACCCTGGGAGGGGGGGGGGGCTTAAACCGCTTTGTGAAAATCCGCTTGTGTAGGACGCAACGTGGGGATATGGAGGGATACGGGGGAAACCCGGGAGAAGTCCGAATATCGCGGCTGTCGGTCCTGGGATGATTCGATGAGATTCAATGAAATCGACTCCGCCAGCACGCGAATGACAAGCCGTTTCACCGGGGCGAGATCACGTTCTCGATTGATCCGCGGATCTACTACCCTTTCGTACGAGGAACACTTCGAACGCATTTCCGCAGCTAACCCCGGCAATTAAAGCCGGCATTCATAGTTCGATCTTATATTTAAGTTCGCCTTAACCACTTAACGCACAGTTTTTTTGAAAAAAAACCGGCCAAAAAAATCAATTTTTTTTATGTAAAAAAATTTTTTCTTTGCTTTCACATTGTTATTTTCAGTCCTCGATTATATTCGAGTGTGAAAAATTATAGCAGCATAAAATATAACGCCGCTCGAATTATCTCGAGTGTGCACAGTTTGGCCTGTTTAGCGCGCTCGAATTAACTCGAGCGTACAAGTTAAGGGGTTAAGTTCATCTTTGAGTGCTCCGTAAGAGATGAAACGATCCGTACAACATCTGAAAGTGGTTCCTGCCCTTACCAAAAAACATTACTGGCTGTGATAATTAGGCTGATGATAAATTATTGTTACTTAGTAATTTTATTACTCGTACGAACAATAGAACTACTTTGTATTGTTGGTCAATTATCATAGCTAATAATACTTTTCTGTGCGGATGTTTCCTTGCCGTTGATATTTTGACTAATTTGACGACAAAAGCAAAAAATATGTGTGTTCAAGATTCTTGCGAAATACGTTAAAATAGAAAGATACGTCCACACTGCAAGAAGAAAGGGTTACATTCAAGTAATATTTACTTAATCCAAGTAAAACAATTCAATACTCCTTAGCAAACACTACTTGAATGCGGTACATTGTTTCTCTCAGCGCATAAAATGATATTTGTGACTGGCCGAAAATATTTGTCAAACCTTCTGAAAACTTTTCTTTTACTCTGCAATCAATCAATAGCCGCAAAATGAACTCGATAAAATCCTGAGCATATAATACTATAAACTAGAAGGATATAAACTAGAAGGAACGTGGCATATCATGTTGATTTTATTTATTGATTGTTAGAGTAAAAGGATGAAAGTCTTGAAAATATTTTACAAATTTCTCAATCGACCACATGTGTCATTTTGTGGACGTATTCTTTGACTACAACATATTTTACGAGAATTTCGAGTATGCCTTTCCTCGCTACCGACGTCATCAGACAAGACGACTGCAACGAAGAACCGGGAGCCTTAAATGTAAGATCCGACTGTGAATACCGCTTTCCGAAACTCGTGAAGGGTTCACGACGTTGGCTAGTTAGCTACGCGAATTAGATTCCGCTGCTGTCTCCTGTAGGATCACGTCCGTCCTGGAAATCTACTTAATCATTCGACAGCGCCAGGTGACGGAAACCGGAAACGTACCAGAACATATCAGTGTTCAGGATCATCAGGTGGTCGAACGAGTTGAACAGTTGGGGCTTCGAGATCAAGCTTCGGGCTTTGTCTTCGATCTCAGAAATTGACAGATCAAACCTGTTAGAGACAGAAGCGGTATCTTCCGAACCAATCATACTGCAAAGTTAGGCGATGCACCGTTGGTGCTTCGCTCGCTGCAAGGCTTACTTGCGCGAATTCGAGCGCGAACCCTTGCTGTGACTTCCAATCGCGAGTGTCGGGAATATCGCAGATTTGCTATGTAGTCGGACGCTGTATATACTTCTTGTGCTTCGTTCGACTCCATATTTCCGCGACTCGGGTGGTCATGCAGGCGTATTACCTAGCCATTTCGGCCGCCGTTTTTGTCGTGGCGAGGCGCTGCGACGAGTTCGAGCCCGCGAGCGCCGCGAGCAGCATGAAATGCATAATATTCAGCCACAAAGGGAGGATTTTTCGGTGGAACTTGAACAGACGAATCGATTTTCCTCTCTCGTACGGCGTAGCGGATCCGAAATACACTGGAACTGTAATTCACGTGATGCCGAATGTCGTTCGAGATCATTCTTAACGAACCGAAATTTCACCAACCCGCGGAATCTCTGATTCGAAAACATTTTAATCCTGCCTTGAAGGTCTAAATGCTCCCGATGTTTCGATTATTAAATTCATATGTGTATTCAAAGGCACCAATTTTGACTCTCTAAACAATCGAAAATCGGAAATTTTAGACATCATCATGGTCAGATTAGTAGTAAATTATATAATTGAACTTATTTTTCACTATCTTTGTTTCTATCATGTTGTAGAACTTAAGATATTGTAATGATTAGGTCCGTCAAACCATTTTCGAAGGAATCTTTTTAAATTTTAATTGCATAATGATGGAAATGTCTTCACTTACCACCTATATGCACTATCTATATATCTGTAAAGTTAGGAAATGATTAATCATACGGAAGTTCAGATATTTGCAACAGAAAGTGACAATATTTATACATGTTTTTTAATATATGTATACATATGTATGTTATATATATGTATATATATGCTTGCGTGTGTGTAATATCCTATTTTTTTAGTTTATATTTTTAATTTTTTTTAAATCACATTTAGGATTTTAACAAAAAACTATTGTGACACTAAGAACTAACATAGAAGCATTATATAAAAATTAAAAAATTGT